AGCGCTCAAGGGCTTGTTCCCTGCCCCTAGTCTACACCAGGGCCAGGTAAAAGACAGTGATGTTCAGGAAAGCAGTAAGAGTGGGTTGATTTGGAGGGGCGGGGTGGTCTAGGGATGTAGCAAGCTGGTAGACTGCTTCCCCAGCGTTCACAAAGCCCTGGGTTAGATCCCCAGTGCTGTATACACTAGGCATGCTGGCACAAGCCTGCACTCCTGCACTCAGGAGATGGAGGCAGGATGACCACACCTCACAGTGACCCTTTCCTACACATGGAATTTGAGGGAAGCCTGGAATATGTGAACTCTTGTCTCAAAAGAAGGAAAACTCATTTTCGAGAAAGGCCAGGGGAGGGGGGATCTTTCTTCTTGCAAATTGAAGAAATTCCCCCCATCAAGAGCTGAAAATGCACCCTTGCTTGCTGCCTGCCACTGAGGTGAACAATGCTACCCTGTTCTGTTGCCATGAAGTTCCGACTTCGCCACAAGCCTAGAAATACAGAACCGAGGGGCACAGACTCTGAACCCCATGGATTCGTAAGCTAAACAACTCTTTCCTGCCTAAAACTTAAGAAAAGAACCGAAAGGCAAGCATGGGAGAGGAGACAGGGAGCCGGGAGATGGAAATATCCCACAGAAGCAAGTTGTTTCCAGCCAAATTAGTTCCATCTATCAACACTCTATGGTGTGCTCATCTGTCGGCTATGGTAATTAAGTAGCTGTGCTAATTGATTTTATTATTGTATCACACAGGGCAAGGTTTTCCCACAAGACTGTAACTACTTGGGCACTAATAGTACCAACTACGCCACAAAGACTCACTACACTAACTACGTACTTTCTTCCCAGCCCTGAGCTTGTCGGGACCCCTATCCTGAGAGACTAAGAAACAGGGCTGTTGCTCCAAGGGAAGGGCCCACCGGGAATTTGTTTCTGTAACAGTCTGGCTTCTTGGCTCCACACACAACTATCTCATCACTTCCTGACACTTGAGACCAGGTCACTATAAATAAATAAATAAATAAATAAATAAATAAATAAGTAAGTAAGTAAGTAAGTAAGTAAATATTTTTCCTGCCAGAAGGGGGTGCTAGAGAGCCACAAATCTCCTTCCTGTTCAAAATAGCCACACCCAGGCAGCTTTAGGATCAGTTGCAGTCCCAGGCCTAGACTTCCCACATCTCCTGAGAGAGCCCCCGCCCCCAGGCTCTTGCAGGGCTACTAGGGCCTCTAGTGTTGCTCCTGCTTCCTCCTTTTACTTTTTTTTTTCCTCTTCAAGACAGGGCTTCTCTGTGTTTCCCCAGCTATCCTGGAACTCACTCTGTAGACCGGGCTGTCCTCGAACTCAGGATCCTCGTGCCTCTGCCTCCTAAGTGATGGGATTAAAGGCGTGCACCCTTACCACCACCCCCAGGCATCATCTTAAACTTCTAAATTGGGATAATTCCATTTTCTTGTGCCCTTTTACCTGAGAACATAACACACCTGTTTCCCGTATCCCACCAAAACAGCTGATCTGTTCTGCCCTCCAACTGTTGTTCTAGTGACTTCATAAGAAGTTAAATTAGCTGTTAAAGTAGTTCTTAGAAAACTGGGCGGCGGTGGGGCACACGCCTGTAATCCCAGCGCTCAGAAGGCAGAGGCAGATGGATCTCTGAGTTTCAGGACAGCCAGAGCCACACCACAAAGAAACCCTGTTTCAAAAAAACAAAAAGCAAAACAACAACAACAACAAAAAGCCCTTATAGAGTTTCTGCATTTCTAAGTATTACTCACACTGCTTTAAGGGGAAAAAAAAAAAATAGTGCTAGAAAGATGCTCAGCCATTAAAGAAAGGCTGGGTTTACAACCAAAAATACAAGAAAGCATTTAAGTTTTTGTTTGATTTTTAGTTGTGTGTGTCAAGGGTTATGTATGTGCACATGGCTGCAGTGACAAGGGGTGGCGGAAGAGGTAGAGGCTGTGTGAGCCACCTGGCGTGGGCACTGGGCCTTCTGCAGGAGGGGTGTGCACTAACCGCTGTGCCGTCTCTCCAGCCCCTTCTGCTTTAAGACAGAGTCTGGTAGATAACCAGGGCAGGTCTAAACATAAGACTCCTCCCACCTCCCTTCTCCTGAGTGCTAGGGCACCAGGTGCACCACCACACTTGGTTTGCTGAAGCAGCTACTGAAAGTTGCTGCGCCTAACTTGGAGTTCATCTATCTAGTCAAATCTGGTAAACCGGGAAATTACAATCCCCTCCCCTAGGTCTGTTTTCCTTAACAGGGCCCTTTGTATAATTTATGCTGCACACCTAAGTGCCCAGCACTGGACTAAGCAAGCACACAGCTACAACGGTATGCAAATTGCGATTCCCCCCTCCCCACCTTCTAGTGTTAACTGAAGGAGAAGATATACAGGTTAGCTTAGCACACTGCAAGGCAAATCGTCAACTTTCCAAGCTGTGACGGTGGATCGAAGAGTTTTGAAGAAAGAAGAGTTTCGAATAACTGAGTCAGTACAGCATCGGGAACTTGTGTGCTGTGCCCATGCGTCCTCCTCAGATACAGAGGCAGTGGCTTTGCAACAGCTCCCATCCAGAGAGAAACGGGACAAACTGTTCCAAAGAGGGGACAGTGACCCGACAGCAACCATCGGGAGCTGGACCTGGCTCCAGAAGGGCCACAGAGAGGGAGTGAAGGGAGATCCTAAAGTGGTTATTCCAACATTAGTTACTGTAAAGACAGATGAAGGCTTGGGGATGTACCTCACTGAAATGTCACAGCTCCCGGGAACACTTGGTTCCCACGTAGTGGTCGTATCTGGGACGCTGTGAAGCGTTAGCAGGTGGAGGAAGTAGGTCACTGGGGGTGGACCTTGAGGTTGTACAACCCCGCCCCATTTTCTGTTCACTGTTTCCTGGCTGCGGCTGCAAGGTGACTAATTGCTACCCACTCCTGCCACCACGCCCTCTTTATCACGATAGACTATAGTCCCCAGAGCTGTGAGCCAAAACAAAACCAACATTCCTTCAGTTCCTTCTTTAAAAAACTGCGTGTGGGTGTGGGGTGTATGTGTTCACATGTGTATATGTATGTGTGTGTGTGTGATAGGTGTACTTTCATGTAGGTATATGTACATATGTATGTGTGTGTGGTAGGTGTATGTTCATGTGGGTATGTGCACGTGTGTGTATGTGTGTGTGGTAGGTGTATATGTTCATGTGGGTATGTCCACACGTGCACATGTGTGTGGATATGTGTATGTGTGTGGAAGTCTTCCCTATTGCTCTTCACCTTGTTTTATTTTGAGACATGGTCTCTCACTAAGCCTAAAGCTTATTGATTCAGCTTAATTGACTGGCCACTGAGTATTAGGGATCCACTTGTCTACATACGCCCAGCTGCTCACCACCTCTGTACTAGAGCTTGGGACACAAGACACGATGCCTGGCTTCTGTGGGGTGCTGGGATCCAGCTCAGGTTCCTGCACCTGTGTCGTAGGCACTGTGCTGACTGAGCCAGCCCACCAACCCCTTCAGCTGCTTCTCATCAGGTCTTTAGGTCACAGCAGTGTGGGAGGTAACTAATACATGTGCCTAGTGGATATGGAGCCCTGGGTTCGATCCCAAGCACCACGTAAAACGGGCATTATGGCACACACCTGTAATCCCAGCACCTGGGGAGGAGGATAGGCAGAGAAGCAGAAGTTCAAGTCTTCAACTACAGAATAAGCCCGAGACCAGCCCATCTCAGGAGGTGGAGGAGGAGGAACCACAACCTACTTTATGTCCCTGCGGTAGGACTGCATACCCACGAAAAGTGAAAAATGTGACCAGATGAAAAAGAGTCAATAGGGACAAGGAGCCAACGGTCTTACTACTCTACTGTGACAGTGTTGTGTAAACCTGCTATGTGGCCAGACTCTAGAAAGCCACATTTACAACACACTGATACCTTACAAATGCAGACTGAACTCTTCACCTTCAGTATTTTACCCATTTTGGCATGATTACGGCCATCAACTATCACAGTAACAGAGAACCAGCCATGGGAAATTATTATTAGAAGGCCTATCCCATATCCTTGCTCTGGGGCCTTGTTGTAAGTAATTTATTTACTATCACTGAAGAATGCAGAGTCCGTAAGGCATGGAAAGCCTGGAGAGAGATTTACTCATAAATAAATGCCAACGCTTAAACAATAACGACAGCTTCAAACTCCAGGACGGTTGAAATGAACAATATGCACCGCCTGGGTGATTTATGACTGTGGTGTTTAGGGTCCAAACGGTGAGATAATTCAATTCCACCTGAAGAGTCATTATATGGCTGAGCCTAAGAGAAGTGTTTTGAATAAGAGGTGATATTTCTCAGGTTTTCCATTTCAAACAGATTATTTCTGTATTTAGGATATCATCCAGGCAATTCCTTTCATGATTTGTAGCACTCTCGGGCAATTAAAAAAAAATTGATAAGGTGAGAGAACTCAGGGACAAATGCCAAATCCAAAGTGATCATAGAATACTGAAGGAGCACGCTGACGGCTCAACACCCAGCAAAAACGATCCTTTCCAGGCAGGGAGACTTGAATTGAGCAGTGAGCTTGTGCAGCAGCAGCAGGAAGACTCCTCAGCAGAAAGCGAACCACACTCCTCACAGATGCATGCAAAAGGCACCTCCCAGGACGAGGAGGCTATGCCCTGCAGGGTCTCACTGGCCCATGGCAGCCTTCCCCCTCACCAGCTCACACATTCACACCAGTCATGGCGTGGAATCTATTTTTGTTATTTATTTATTTATTTATTTATTTATTTATTTATTTATTTATTTAGAATCATGCACTCATGTAGCCCAGGCTAGCAGCAAACTCATTTGGTAGCCAGAATTTACCTTTAGCCCATGGTCCTCCTGCCTCTTGCTGGGATTACAGGCATAAACCACAGCATTAGCTGAGGACACCCACAAGCAGGCAAGAACAGAGTGGTTCAGGCTGGTCAGAACAGGATTGCCCAGGTTTACATACCATCCAGGCCATTGTGATGGCTGTAGTTTCTTTTCCCCAGAATGCTCAGAGAGGTGTGGTTCGGAGTGGTGAGCATCCTCTTGGTGGTTGGAGTTTGCAGGCTTGGTGGAGATCGAATTACATTAGGTTTCTTTGCAGGATGGATCTCTGATGGGAGGGCGAGGTGGGGGGGGGTAGAAAAGTTTATCAGCTCAGAATATGGTATTGGAAATCTGTGGACTCTAACACCAGCTAACAGGCACACATCTTCTTTCTTAATGAGCTGAGGGTTGGTTCCTCATGAGCCTGCCGTGCACTTGCATAATGAGGTATCTTCAAGTGTTGTTACCATGGTTCTGCTTATCAAACTGCCCCTCCCCGGCTGGCTGGCTGGAGCTCTGAGCCTCACTCGGGGTGTGAAGACAAACAGAAAAAGCCACTTCAGAAGGTCACTTACAAACACGAGATTTGCTAAGGGGATAAAGCACCTGGCTCTTCGGTACATTAGGAATCTAAAGATCACTTGCAGGGGCAGCCTCAGGAAGCCCCGCACATCTGGCGTTCTAGCACTATGAAAACTCAGATTCCTCCTCTGGCTGTGTAGTCAGGAGGTCTGGGGCCAGCACTGAATACTCTTGGGACAGAACATTTCCATAATGGATGAAATTCCACACTAAAGGCCAAACACCATCGCCAAAAATTTAGATGGTACACTTTGACCAAGGACATGTCACAAAACTGTACCTTGTGCCTAGCACCTGGTTAAGGGTCTTTACTGCATGTCATGCAACCCCTCAGTACCACTTGCTCTTTTCACAGACACGCAGAAACTGTGATATCACAGGAAGCGGATTTAAAGACCTCTGGCCGTTATCAGTATGAACACCTCTGCTCCAGTTTCAGCCATCTGCTGATCTTCAGGGTTGTCAACTAGCACATCGACTACGCTCAAACCAGCCTGTCTTCTCGCCTGTCCAATGTGAGGGCCAAAATAGCCAGGTTTATGGAAATTTAGGAAAAGACACCAGGCTGTCAGAACAAGTATACGAATTGGTCTTACCAAAATCTTACAACTGTTAAAATTTAAGTATGGCTTGGTGGTACCATCTAAAACTAACGCTGTCTTCCAACAGGGCACACCAGCCTTACTTTACCCTGGGGAGGCAACACGTTCCTTTAACCTTAGGAGCATCGAGCTGAGCCTTTGTCTCTCTAGTTCTCCCAATCTTGTAAGGTGTGAGAATACGGAAATACTTACTGTTCCTATTCTTTTTTCTTTTCTTTTTTTCATCCATTCTAAACCTACAAAACTTTCAAGGCTAAGATAAACTACTATTGCTGCTAAGAAGGCAGACCTAGCACTTGCTAGAGATAGCCAATCCCAGGGCAGTGGTACCTCACTCACCTGTCATGAGGTCTGGGCTCAATTCCCCAACCTCTTACCACACAGTCACACACACACACACACACACACACACACACACACACACACACACACACACACACACACACACAGTCTTCCTCCAAGAGCCCAGTGCATTCAACCCTCCAGTTATCACATGTAATGCTTTGTTTGATTGCTTTTACTGTGTGATTCCCCAACTTGACTAAAAGTTTTGGAGGCCAAGTATTATTTATTTGGTAACCCCCAAATCATACTCTACAGTGTCTGGAATACAGTACACACACAGACAGGGCTCAGCTCAGCTGGCAAGGATGGAACATTTGGTAGGGACAGGGTTAAGCTTTCCCACAAGAAAACAAACAGAAGGCAGTTTACTCTATAATGCTTAACTCTTTCCTTGCCAGGCGAGAAAGAGCTCCCAAGAGTTGGTCCTGAAAGACACTGCATTACCCAGGACATGCTGATAGCCATGTGGTATGTGGCAGATGAAAACAAGCCTTGCTTTTCTTTAATTTTTTTTTTTTTTTTTTTTTTTTTTTTTTTTTGAGGCAGGATCTCATGTAACTGAGGCTGACCTTGAACTCCTGATCCTCCCAAGTGCTGAGACTAGACAGGTATTCCATGGTTATTTTATTTAGGCAGGGTCCTGTGTAACTGGCCTGGTATTCACTACATGGCTGAGACTCTTTAGCCTTTGAGATGCAAAGCAAGAGCTAAGGTAGCAGAGTGACATAAAAGATGGAGCTAAGGGCTTCCCGGCCAGACAGCATATCAGTTCAAGGCTACCCTTTGATTTCCCAAAGATTAGATGCCTAAAGTCTGAATACTTCAAACACTTAAGTCTTCCTGACAGCAAAATAAGGTTTGGTGCAGAGTATTTTGCCTTTAGGGAAAATGAAAAAGAAATATTGGAATCTCAAAACACGTGTTCTTACTTCAGAAAGGGAACTTATTATTTCTGCTCCATTTTATTTCAAAACTCTGGGAAAAAGCTATTGATGAGTAATTAATTCTTAGCACTATTCTCGGTTATTATATTTCAATGTGTAAATGGAACTTTGTATCTTTGGAGATATCCCAGTCACATGGCATGATAGATATTATAAAACAATAGAAATGCTCCCTTTCAATACAGACAGTGCATCAAATCTGTAACATTCTGAAGCGCTGGGAATGCAAACTAGGATGCTGGGCATTCTAGACATTCCTTCTACCACCGATCTGTACACTTCACCTTTATGGAGGTGGGGGTTGTTTTGTTACTGCAGTTTTCTGTTTCTAATTTTTTTGAGACAAGGTTTCTCCACATAGCTCTATAGACCAGTCTGGCCTCAAACTTACAGGATCTGCCTGTCTCTGCCTCCAGAGTGCTGGGATTAAAGGGGTGTGTGCCATCCCTGCCCGATTTACTGTTTGTTTTTGAAGGGGGAAGTTTGCTTTGCATTTTGTTTTGTTTGAGGCAGGATCTAGTGTAGCCAAATGGGCCCTGAACTCACTATGTAGTCAAGGGGGACCTGGAACTCCTGATCCTCTTGTCTCTACTTCCAGAATGCTAGGATACAGGCGTATGCCACCACTCTTGGCTGCTTTTGGTTCTTGAGACAGGGTCTTGCTATGTAGCCCAGGAGGTTTTGAGCTCATGGGTCTTCCTGTCTCTACTGAGTGCTGGGATTGCAGGCATGAGTCACTATGACTGATTTTTTTTCCTAAGGTAAGCTGAAAATCAATTTAATTCAGTTTTTAAGAACAAACCTCTACTTAAAGGAAAGGTAAATTAGAGATAAAGATCTAAATAAAAATAATTAAGATGTTTAGGATATCATCCTGTATTATTGAGTAGTTTAAAAATGCGCTCTCCCCTCTTTGTTAGTTTGCTTGTTTTCAGGCAGTCATGCTAGGTGCCCAAGGTGCTCTTGAGCTTATGGTAATCCTCCTGCCCCAGCCTCCCAAGTGCTGGGATGATAGGCAGGAGCCACCATATGAGACTTGACTTTTTTTCCTTAGGCTGGATCTATTAACAGTTAATACAAATTTTAATTCATCAAACTTTTAGAAGAAATAAACATATATACTTAACTCTATTCACTGATAATAAAAGTTTCTAGTCCAAAGTAAAACTATATATATAAAGGTGCCCAATTTCACCCATTTGAAGGATTTGAATGCAGTCCAGGTGTGCATTTGGAATGAAGAGGTGTCTACAATATGTAAAGGGTGTCTTGAGGTCTTCCTGTGTTAGAAGATACCCACCTAAATACCCAATGATACAGGACAAAGGTTTCCTAGTGCTTTTGCTTTTCAGTGGGCTTCCAGAAAGTTCGGCATGTCTGTCTGCATCTGAGGAGAGAAAGAAACATGGGATAACAAGTGAGGTGGCTTCTTCCATCTTTACCACATACCACAGAAATAAAAGGTGCAGGCAGAAAAAAAATACAGAACACCCTCCACATCCACACTACTTCCTCTGGGCTGGAGAAAATGGTTCTGAGTTTCGGACCCCTAGACTGAGTGCGGGACTTGTACCGACACATCAGAGCCTTGTGAGTGTAGGGTCTCACACAAGCCATGTGTGTTCACCTGAGTGATGGAAACAGGCTTCCTTTATAGTTGTGACATTTCTAATTATGATAGGAAAACATTCGCAGTACACTCAAGGTGGGACCAATCTTAATATGAGATTAATGTGGCTTGGGAAAAGCAAAAACAAAACAGCAAACAACAGCTGGCAACACAACACACTCAGCCACCCTCGGCTTAGCCGGAGTGGGCCCTTCTGGGAAGCCTTGACCTATCTTCACAAAACTCAATTTCATTAGATGGCAGCCTGGCAAAGCCATTTGGTTCTACCACTGACTGGTCGTCATCTCACACAATGGTATTTGGGCTGAGGTTTTAACAGGCCCTGTATGCATCCAACAGTCACTCTGCGAGGAAGACACTGGCCACTAAGTTTTCATCCCTTTGTACCCTATTGTAAGATACTTCAGAAAAGGAACTAAAAGCATGCAGCACAAACACCATACTTTAAAGGAACCGTCGTTAGGATAGAGTCAGCGAGACACCTACCACACCGAAGAGCTGAGGTCAAAATAGTTTGAAGGGACAAAGAAAATGTGTATGGAAGCTTTTAAAAATCAGCCATTATCACAAAGCACACCAATTGCTTCAGCTGACATGAATCTGTTACGTTTATGCTTTGACCCATCTCCAAACGTGTGACAAACATGTCCTCCGGGTTTCCTGCTCCTATCGAGATCTTTTCCATCTGCAAGCTGAGACCACGCCTAGGCACACACACAGAAATTGCCTTTGACATCCATAGGTCTTCTTTGCATTTCGACTCAATCTGGAACCTCAAATAACTTAAAAACTGACTTTGTCTCGAACACTAGTTCTCTTTCATCAAGGAAATGTTTTGAAAAAGCTATTAAACAGATGGTGGAAATAGCATTTTAAAATAACATTAAAATAGACAAAACACATGCTGCAGGTAGCTTGGAAACACCAGGATTTGAGTCAATGCCCCAAGCACTGTTTACCTATTACGCAACCACTGACGCCTATAATTGGTCCCGTTTTTTTCCCCTCTTCACTCAGTTGATCACCTTTGGGAGGGTTACTAAGTTGTGAAGTTTTTTTCACCTGTTATCGAATAATAACGATGATGATAAGAGCGGAATTAAGCACATTTTTTTTAAACAAGCATATTAAGAAATGTAATCTAAATAGAGGTCAGAAGTGGTCGAAACCGTGCACGGATCAAACACTAGTCAAACCACCAGACATTAACACCAGTGTTCCTTCTTCATATGACTACTCTGCCTAAAATTCTAGTCATGCCTGGAAAGGCGACAAGAGGCAATGCTTTCTTTATCATCTTCTTCTCCATTAATTCAAGTAGCTTGAGTGAATCATCTTGGTAAACTCCTCAACATCTTGGACAAAGGCATTTTTCATCGTCGCAGTGACAAGATAAACTTCACCCTTTAGTCTGCAAGAACACCAGGAACACTGTCTATGGCTACAACTGACAAACACCAGGATATTACCATCACTTTGACAAGAGCCGGCAAATGCATCAAAGATGGCCATGAAAGTAGTTCACTCGGAACCACAGCAAACTGTCTCTAGTTTCTCACGAGTCCCCTCAAAGATCTCTAGCAGGATCCCTATCTCACTAATAAGTCTATTTTAAAGGAAGCTGTCAGTAAAATAAAAAACAAATAAATAAATAAGTAGCTGGTGTTGAGAGTTATCAGTCAATTATAAAGAAATTAAGATTAAAAGGGCTGAGATGGTACCTAGCCTTGCTCTAACATAAGAAAAATGGCAGCCATTCGGTAGGAAAAACACATTCTGGAATGTTCACAAACCGGATTACCTGATCAACATTGCTGTACTCCTGGTCTACCTACCAGACAGGCTACACCAAGCTTTGTGCCATTCCTTTGTCCCCAAGTTACTCATCATCTCTAGTTAAGAACAGAGATGGGGCACCTACAGTGTGTGGGGTAAAAGAAGGAGCTGAGGTTGCCCACAGGAGACAAAGGGAATTGAGACTTCCCAGAGAGGACAGCGGAATCTCACTGTGCCACTGACTCTGCACTAGACTCATGTCTTTAGCTTTCTACGGGAGGACCTGCATTCCTTTAGGTAAACATATACGACATTTTCAACACCAGTTTCTGACCCTTTCCCTAACGTTTTAGAAATACCGGGGGTAGAGGGAAATTATAAAATAGAAAAGCTGCAAAACAGATGATGGCTGAGTGGGTAAAAGTGCTTGGGCCATAAGTATGACAACCTGAAATTTGGATTCTGTAATCCAAGCCTGCCCCGAGGGAAGATGGGGGATAAAGGCAAGGCAGTCTCCAAGAGCTCAAAGGCCAAAGGAGATATGCAAGGGCTGACAGCTGAAGGCTGCCCTCTCATCTCCACAGATAAGCTCCAGACAAGCCCACACCTAACCCTAACCCTCCACAGGAAACACACACACACACACACACACACACACACACACACACACACACACACACACACAGAGTAAAATTCACGAAAAACATTGATGTGGCCTTTTGAGATCTGTCCAACAAAATCATAAATAGAATTTGCTTAAACACTGTACTCAGGTTCTGTAACAGTTTTTTTCATGAAACATTTAGCTGGGTGTGGCAGCACTTTAATCCCAGTCTGGATCTTTGTGAGTTGGATGGTCAGCCTGGTCTACAGAGAGCACATGTTTTTCTCTCTCTCTCTCTCTCCCCTCTCTCTCTCTTTCTCTCTCCTCTCTCTCTCCTCTCTCTTTATCCTCTCACTCTCCTCTCTCTCTCTCCTCTTTCTCACTCTCCTCCTTCCCCCCCCCCTTTCACACACACACACACAATGATGTTTGGGAGATACAACACAGACTAAGTCAATGACAAAACAGGAGGGAGGCAATGGTACCAAAGATCTAAAGTAACCTCGCCAAGATAAAAATTTCCATGAATAAGGAAGACTTCTAGTAGGCAGCAGAAAGGAGCAAAAGCAGTTGACAGGAAATACACACTGCCTTCAAATCCTTGCAATGATTTTCTGTGTCACTAGCAATGCAAAATGGAAGCTGGTAGCTATGCTTCACCCATCACCTGGCTAAGGGTGTGAAAGATGGGTAACATCTTCCGAGATTCTTGGGAGTCGGGCTTTCATTCACTCAAGATAGTAGCTGAGAGTATAGACTGGGTTTTTAGAAGACAACCAGGTAATGGATATTAAAAAGTGCATGATGACATTGGTTGCCTCTGAAGAACATATATCAAGAAGGAAAATGATTATGTGATTTTAAAACTAATGCATAACTTATTAAAATAACTGCTTCAGGGCCAGAGAACTAGCCCAGCAGGTACAGCCACTTGTTACTCCTGCAGAAGACCCAGGTTTGGTTCTCAGAACCCACACTCCTGGGTCTCCGGCCCTCTCTTTTGACTCCCATGTGCTGGACATACATGTGGTACAAGACACACATACATGCACTTCCAAAACTCACACACACCAAGTGAGTAAATTTAAAATGTAACCATTCAAGAACAAATTCTGATTGAAGGCTAACACTATCAAAAATGGCAAGACAAGCAGGCCTAGATGGCTCTCTCCTGCCACTACAGAGCTTGAAAATCCAGCTAAGTCTGTGCAATTCCTAACAGTAGCTTTTTTGTTCTGGCAACAAAACAAAACACAAAACAACCCCATGTGACAAATATCTCAAGAAATGAGGTCTTGGATGCTTTCAAAGTTGGATTCACATCTTGAAACAGAAAAAACAAAACAAAACAAAACCACTTCAAGAGACACAAAGTAACTTCATGATGGGATTACTGCTGCTCTGTGAACTCGGGATTTAATCATCTCTGCAAGATAACGAGGAGGCAGGCAAGGCATCCGGACCTGCTGTCTGCTAGGGAGTTTGGCTTCCTCTCTGTAATGTTGCTGATGCCCCTTAAGGTAGCTTCAGTGTGAGGTTCTGAATACCTCTGTGCCCAGGTTGTAAAACAGTTTTGGTACATACATATCAGATATGTATTCTATATGCTTGTATTTTTTGGCATTAAACTCACTATGTACCCCAGGCTGGCCTCAAAGGAGTAGCAATGCCCCTGCCTCTGCCTCCTGAGTGCTGAGGTCACAGACACCTGCTGGGAGTATTATTTGTTTAATAGGAAACACATTCCCATAACAGATGAACAATGGGATAAGTCTCACTGTTTTCCCAAGCCTCCCCTCCCCCTCCCACAGCTACTATTACTTCTTGCAAACCCCCCCTTTTACAATGCTGCAGCCTTAGTGCTCCTATAACCAATCAGAACAGCCCTCTTCAAATATGGACCACCCACTGAGCCTTGTCTTAGCTGCTGGATGCTGCTACCCAGGACCAGCAAGCACAGTGGCTTCCTGTTCTGCATCGTAGTGCAGAAAACCCTACAACACTGGCTACGGTGCTGTGAGGAGGGAATGGCTTTCCTTTCCAACACGGCTGGCTATTCCAAAAGTATTCGCTGCAGCTCTATTCTTCAGTACCTTAGAATTACAAGCTTCCATCTTATCTGAGAGTACAATGGTACTGTATCGGGGACCTTTCTAGAAGGGCAGTCAACACTGCCTTTGAGAAACCAAGGAAAGCTCACTGGGAAAACACAAACACACACACCACACACACACACACACACACACACACACACGGCTATACACTTCCAATGGATCAGGGAGACTCAGCTGCCTATGGACATTATATTACTCACAGTTAATCACACTACAGAGCCAAGATAACATCTACAGAAAAACATCTACAGAAGAGGTTATAACAAAGTACACACAGGAATGAAAAGATGGTGTGAAAATCAGTCAGATGCTAGGAGAAGGTGAGCAACACTGAAAATGAAAACTCAAGTCGTAGGGTAAAATTGTTTTAAAAGTGTGATTCTCTAAGTCCTTTGATGAAGATAGACACAAAGTGGAAGAAAATAATACAGCTTTTCTTTTCTTTCTTTCTTTTTTTTTTTTTTTTGTTTTTTGGAATTTCACACAACAGATGACTGTTCTTTCATTATTATTTTCCATGTTCTTGAACAAACACAATATAGACAATTTAACCCTAAACCTATTTTCAATAGCATGGACCATCAACTGACAAAAGATTAGAATGAAGCAACACAAAAACACAGTTCGTTCACAAATAATCAGAGCAAAGCTGATGTGCAAATAAATTGAAAATCAACGAAGAGACAAAGGCAAACGCAGCCCCCACGGCAGCCAATTGTTGGTGATGGCTTCTCTTCCATTCACTAGAAACAAAGATGGTACTGGACCCCAGCCAATCGTGATAAGAGAATTCCATTTATTTTCTGCCTTAAATGTTTAAATTATTCCCTTTAAGAAATTATATAGAAATAATATATGTTTTAAGTCAGCTAAGCAGTTTGGGTGGATATATTTATTTTCCTTAAATGAAAAAAGCAACAATTCTCTGAACTCAGAAATGCCAGGACGAAACCAAGGGCAAGCCTAAATTTTCAAATATACTTGACATAACACGGCTGATTGCCTCCACATGGGAGACTGAATCCTCACTCTTCTTACAGGTGTTTTACCTTTAAGCTTAAAAACAAACAAACAAACCTCTCAACTTTCTGCAGATATTATTTTTAGAACTAAAAAATTCTTTTTCAGTCATCATTCCTTTTATGGGTATGCTCTTCATATCAAAGTAGGCATCTCACAATAATATGCTTTTATGTTTTGGGGTTTTTGAGACACAGTCTCATGTCACCTAGGCTGGTCTCAAATTCCCTATGTTGCCAAGAATGACTTTGAACTATTGATTCTGATTCTCCTGCCCTTGCCTCCCCAGGGTTATAGGCCACGTGTGCCACCATACCCTCTCCATAATTAGTTTTTTTTTTTTTATTTCATAGAAAAGCACTTGAATGTCTTTAAGATTTTCTATCTGTGAAGCTTACAGCCATTTTTTTTTTTTTTTAATCCTTTAGGGAGAAATTGTATGGCTCTACCAGCCAAGTATGAGTCCTCAGCTCACACATACCATGGGTACATTTTCTGATATGTGGTAATAAAAGAAGAGCCCACAGGTCAAGCAGATAACCTTTGCTAACAACAGCAACAAAAAAAAAAAAAAAAAAAAAAAAGAAACATAAGTCAGATTGAATGTGTTGAAAATAGAGCCTGAGTCAAAGATGTACAAGATAATGTATGATTATGAAATGGAAACCAAACTGGACAAAGACTGTTGGACCACAATGGGTGATAACTTGTAAAAACTAAATGTGTATGTTTAAGAATTCCTTTAAGAGGGTTCTTAGATTCACTTAGCATTTATTTTATGGTCTAACAAATACGAGGTTAGTTATGAAGCACTGTTTTCTATAAACTGTATGATGACTATAAGAGGTTCCTGGGAAGGTAAGAGGTTTGCCAAGACAAGCCAGCTAGTATTAATTAGTACATTTTATTCAAACCTAATGAATCCTTAAGACAGGATTGTGCTGTTTCAGTAGGGAGTTTAATCCACACTACCAAACAGGCATAAGTGCTTCTGTTAAGGTCCCTCTGGTCAACGTGTCACAAAAGCCCACCAGGTAAGGTCACCTCCCCCACCTTCTGATTAATTCTACTCGGAAATTCACAGGGATTTCAACGTTGTTTTTCAGCGTGGCATGATATAAATGGCAGCAGACAAGAACAATGTTTAAAAAAAAAAAAAAACAAAGGCTGTACACAAGAACTTATGTTTATTGCAAACAAACAAACAAAAAGAGAGAGCGAGGGGAAAGAGAGGATGGTGAGAGGAGCGAACGTGTAAGGTTAAGAATTGAAAAGCGTCTTACATTCTGCCCTAATGGCAGCATAATTAATAGCAACAAATGGCCGTCTTGCTGCCTGCCGCAGCCGCAGGGTGTTTTTGCAGACCTGACGAGCAATTTTCGTGAAATACGTAGTATGGAGGAAGAAAGCTTGGCGGGTCTTCACTGCGGACTTAGGACTCCCAGTGTTCCGGACCGGCATGCCCTGCATGGCCTGCCGGGACAGGTGGCTTCTCACACGCGGGTCCTGCAATTGTGGAAAAAATGGGATTTACACAGGAGAACTTGCCAGAGCCCACGGGGCCACTCCCACCAAGTCCAACATCCTGGGAAGCACTGTACCTCAGGGGAAAAGCGGTATGTGCGTTTGGAAAGAATGTGGGGAGTGCAGCAGGGCAGGGTGGCACACAATCTCAGCTCGCCCCCACCATCAGTAAGATGCCACTGGGTATTTACTGTGAGGAGTCCAGAGCGGGCATCAGCTCGACAGGGACTAGCCTCATTCTGGTAGGCACTCGCGCTTGACATCCTCCGTCTATGAGGATTACCAAGGTCATCCCGCCCATTACTGTTCTTGCCCCTCCACAATAGCCCAGGGAAGGGAATGTTTAATTCCTGTTTGTTATTTTATGTAATAAGATGCTTCCAACAGTATCTAAAGGTTACAAACTGTTTTCAAAAACAAGACTGTTTGTAAGCTCTCTATTCGGGTAAGCACCTCCCACACACATTATTCTTTTGCTTGAATAATCTCAAGAGACCAATATTTTGAATACCTGGAAAAAAAAAATCAGACCCACCCTGAGTATGCAGTGCCATGTTTAAGTCTAAAACTCAGCTTTGTTCATTTGTAAATCGTTCTGTATAGCGCTACTGCTTCCGAGAAGAAGCCAGTAACCCAGAAACGTGGTGTTCTCGCCTCTGCAAAGAGCGCACTCACATACCTCTGCAGTAGGACTGGGAGACTTCTGTTCTTCTGATTGTGTGGGCATTTTCAGACCTCCATACTTTTTCCAATACAGCCAACAGGTCGCACACAGTCTACACTGCATGTTAGGCGGGCCCCAGGAATACCACTGATGGGACTGCGTGGCTAAAGACAGGGCGAAAGAGATACTGTGAAAGCCGTGGTCTTAATATCCTGAAACCTCGAAGGCACCCTGAAGCCACAGCCGGTTTACAGTATTATCTTCTTTCCCAAGGCTGTTGGGCAAGCGTGGAAGTGTAGCACACACATTCATTTCTCAGCACTCTGGACACATTGCATCATTTGTTTCTGCCACACATCAATCAGTGTTTGTCACATCTATTAAGAGACACTATTGGATGACACATCCTGATTTATGCCTTAGGCTGCTGAGATTCTGTTTTGTTAATTAAAAGTGATTTCATTATGCACATGTCTAGAAATAAGTCTTCCGAAGGATATTATGGTTATTAAGCTTCCCGGCAGTGTTTATAACACAAACCTTATGGTTCGGGAGCTCTTGCAGGGATGGCTAAGGTACTCAGCAGGGGACTGACTCACTGGTAAGTCAGGAACCAGATAAAGCCAGAAATCCATTGTTCCTTAGAATTTCTCACTAAACACAGACTATCTTGAAGACTATAAATCCCCATCAGGTGAGGGAGCACTTACAGCTGATATGGCCTCATGGTTGGTAAGACATGATCCCAGATGCCTGACTGCTTGGCTGGACACACCGCATGTGTCAGGCTCTGCAGCTTAACCCTGTCCCGCAAGACCAATAGCTTCCCACGGCAGAGCCAAAGGGAGGTGGGAACAGTGGTGGTGAAACATAGCTAAGACCACAGGCAGAGACTATGATGCTAACTCTGCCAATGGTCCTCCCCTTGCCTCTAAGTTACCTCCATCCAGGCAAAGCCACCAGCGAGTACAGGAGGGTGTCCACTAAGGAACACCTCACAAATAATATGCGAAAGGGAAAGGCAGAGCTGGAGTACAGCTCAGTGGCACTCAAAGAAAGGCCTAGGTCTGGTCCCTACTGCAAGAAAATATAGTGACTATTACATTTAATTACCTTTATATATAAATCAGGATAATTTACATTCATTGTGTGCCACTCTTTTGTTTTGTGTTTTGAGATAAGGTTTCTCTGTGTGTTGCCCTGGCTGTCCTGGAACTCTCTCTGTAGACCAGCTGGCCTTGAACTCAGAGATCCACCTGCCTCTGTCTCATGAGTGCTGGGATTAAAGGCATGTGTGGCCACTGCCACCATCCAGCTGCCGTATAATATTCTTGGAAGTCAGCTTTTAAAGAGAAGCCTAACCCCCTTTGCTCTTTTAACTTAAACAATAAAGTTAACTTTTTAAGACAGATTTTATCAAAACATTTTAATTACATATATGAGTATGAGTGCAAGTGTCCTTGGAGGCCAAAGTGTTGGATCCCCTGGAGCTAAGGTTACATACAGGTGGTCATAAGACAACTTACACGGATGCTGGGAACCAAAAAGGTTCTTTGCAAGAACAGTGTGTGCTCTTAACCACTGAGCCATCTCTTCAGCCCCCAAGTTAACTTTGTTTCAATATAAATAAGGACACCTGAGGCCATCCCCTTGCCCACAAAAATGTACATGCCCACATGCACATACATACATCCACCTGCACACATATGTGTACCCACTTAGGAACATGCACATAAAGAAGAATATCATTGTGCTGTGGTGGCACATGCCTGTGTTCCAAACTCTCAGGAGGTTGAGCCAGGAGGATGGTGAGTTAGAGGCCAGGCTGGGCTTCCATAAAGAAGACCCTGCCTCAAAAACCCAACCCAAAGCAACAACAACAGGCAGGAGAGCTACTGTTGCTTGAGATTTTAAGTAAACATGCATGGTGTCAACTACCAATCAGATCATCTCAACGACCATACATAACACAAGGGCACACATAACGCCCTTGCAAGCAGAGATAAATACTGCAAGGCCTGAAGCCGAATGCAAATATCACAACATGGCATTTCCCCAACTGGTTCCCTGGGAGCCTGAGGCCTGTAGCAATGGTTTTTCCACACACCTGCCTGTCCTCCAGAAGTATCAAGCATATTTAATTTAGACAGAGAACACTGAGGAACTCCAAGAGATTTGGTATGTACCACAGTGCCATGGTTTGGATTAACCTAGTATAACTGCACACAGTTAAAGCCACAACACTAACACGAACAACCTGACAGCAAACACAGAGCCCACTGAAGAGACCAGAGCAATCATGCATCCACCCTACCTATGTGGTGCAAGAGTACTCAGTGAATGTCCCTTTGATCCCAGCGGTAGACTGGGACGGTTCCTACTCACTCAGAGACACTGCCTGCCTCTGTACAGCAGTGACATGCTTCTCACCAACCCCCTACACACGCACGCACGCACGCACGCGCAGTGCAGGACAGCTCCCCACACTTCACCAGGCTCCACCTCTGAGCAAACTCACCATAGCAGCTCTCACAGGCTCGCCCTAGGAGGGTGTTCTGGGGCTGGAACGTGGTCCCCACAGCTCCGTTCACAGTGCCAGACTTGCCATTGCTGGTGGATATTTGGTTGGGATTTGGTTTGCTGCTTTCGATAAAATGTAGAGTAAAACAATAAAAATGATTTGTAGGACAAGGCAAAAAGCTGGCAACTCCTTGCTAATTTACCTTCCCCAGATACAAATAAATGCTTATTATGTTTAGTGAAGAAGAAACAGACTGGCAAAAGCAGGATGCTAAGATGAACCCAAGTATAGGGGACAGTAGAAGAGAGTGAATGAGAACAAAGTATAATGACAGACACAAACAAAGATGCTGTGATGAACCCAGGACTCTGTACACTAACCTAAAAAAATAACAGCAAAACCAAAAACCTTAAGGAAACACACACACACACACCCCACTCTGAATTACACATGATCCCAGGAACTTACATAATTGAGGGTATATCTGGTGGAATGATAAGTAAATAAAAATAAGGCCCTCATTTATACCAAAGAAAGCTATAAAACAGCCTTGGTGCCAGGTATTCTACAGAAAATGGGTCCACACCTTTGGCCACATCAGGGCCATTTTCTCATAGCACACTGCGCTTTTGAAAGATAGGAATCACTAGACTTTATCGTCATAAATTTTCTTGAGAAAATAATTTTCTGAATTGAATAAATGAAGCTAAAGACAGTCAGTCCTGTGTGACTGGGAAAGCCCTGGCACTGCTCCTGGTGGGGGTGATGCTCCTTGGGGAGTGATGCTGTGGCTTCTGTAGTGCTCCAGAGTGGGTGGGGTGGAGCAAAGACACAGCTGAGCTATGCAGGACCACACTCCATATCATCAGTGGAGGAGAACCTGTCCTAGGCTCAAGACAAAAATTCCTATTATGTCTTAAATTGTATGAGGCAGATTAGCATTTAAGAGGAGAAAACCTTTGAGATCCTCCCCATCTTCTATTTAAGAACACTTTTTTGGAGGAAAAAAAAGGCATGGGTCAGAAGGCTAACTGCAAATGTATCAGAGACACTGAGAAGACTAAATGCAAACTGGTCAGAAATCGAGGCAGCTTTGTCATCATTCTTTGAATCACACAGCCCAGACTTATTGTGGCGCTTACTGTGTAAACATAGCTGACAGCAGGCTAACATCTTGCTTAGAGTTTTGCCCAAGGATACTGCACAGCTGCTTGCCCAGCACACACCATTAGCAAATACAGACTCGATGACCAGTAAACAACGATCTGCCACAGAAAAGCTTGCTTCTTGGGGACCCTTCATCTCTGTTACAGTCTCAAAACAAACACATAAAACAGAAGGGTCCATTGTTGTTTGTTTTGTGCTCTTTAGAACAAAAAGAAAAGGAGTGGGACCAGGCATGGCCCACGCCTTTAATCCCAGCACTCTGGAGACAGAGGCAGGTGGATCTCTGTGAGTTTGAGGCCAGCCTGGTCTACACAGTGAGTTCCGACAGCCAGGGCTATGTAGAGAGAGCCTGTCTCAAAACAGAAAAGAAGTGGTTCAGAGAAACTAAAGTTCCCAAAGGGGTGTAACATTTCCAATTGAGAAGAAATCTGCCATGTAGCAGTTGAAAGGATGCTCCCACCACTTGAAGTCAAGCCAGAAGTTTCCCAGAAATATGGAAACTTGGCATTTAAATGCAGGGCTAAATATACAAGTCTAAGAAGAGCTAATGTTGGCCTGGAGAGATGGCTTGGCAGTTAGTATACTGGCTGCTCTAGCAGAGGACCTGGGTTTGATTCCCAGCACCCACACAGTGGCTCACAACCATCCATAACTCCAGTTCCAGGGGATCTGATGCCCTTTTCTGACCTCTATGAACACCAGGCACACATACGATACACAGACATATGATACACAGTGAGCAAAATGCTTATACACATAAACTACATAAACAAATGTAAGAGAAAAAAGAGCAGATGCTATCTTCAATTGAGGGGCTGGAAAGAGGACAGGGACACAAAATCAGCTGGCTGTACAGAGGGGCACAGGACACTGCCTGGCTGAATAAGCCACTGTTTGGAACCACAGTGACTACTGTAGACCTGAGGAGCACTGAGGAGAGCCACCTAAGATTACAGACACTCCATGAAACCGTCCTTCTTTTAACACCCACCCCCCATCTCTGCTCCAGGCTCCAGCCATCTCTGCCCCCCTGGAGTATTTTGGACATATCACCATTCTCCTCCCTAGACCCTCCTTAAGTTACTATTTACACATAAGGAGAGTTATGAATGGTTGCAAGCCAACACGTGGGGCCTGGGAATCAAATCCAGGTCCTCTGCAACAACAGCAGGAGCTCTCAACCACTGAGCCACATCTCCATCCCAACACTGGCCTTTCTCTGACTCATACGTTCATTTTTAAAGATTTTCCCATTTGATAGCTTCTTCCTCTGCCAATAGCTCTACTCATGAGCAGTTTCTGCCACCCAGCTGCTACATCATGGTGACTTCCAGGTCACTGACTTACACTTCACCAGCGTCCGGCAACGCTCATCTCGCCACTCCCTTGAAACACACCCTGCCTGTCAGCTCTCATGACTCCCTGGGCCATCCATTTGCAGCTATGAGACACCATTTGCTCTATAGAAACCAAATTTATTCAGTTTCCTGCAAAGTCCCTTTCTGATTGCTCCCCCCGCCCCCCCCCCCACTGGAGATCTAAGCTATGATTTGAAGTGGAACCACAGTTCACTGTGAACTTCACAGTGTCTCTAGCCTAACCCTTTCCCCCGAGTAAGATCAGAATGTTCAATATATCCTGCACACGTATCCACGGTTCCTTTTTTGATAGAACAAACTCAAAATGGCCTAACCTAATACTGTGCTACCATCTGAGTTTAGGGACAATCCTAATGATGGACTCAAACTTGACAAGCCGAAGCCTGTCCACCTCCTAATACAGTATCATTTCCAGAGCCCTTTTAAGGCTGAGCTGGGGTCATCTCTCCTCCTGAGAACCTGTAACTGGTCTCCTCATGTGTATGCCACTGTTCCCTGGGTCCACACCCCAAATGCAACCTTTTCAAGACCATGACATGTCTTCCGTTAAAATTCCCCTACTCTTCATGTCATGGGCACCCACACTGCCTGCCCTCTTCCCACACAGCTGGCTGGCTGCTCTTTCCACGCTGCCATTCATACCATCTCTCTCTGGGCTCCTCAACTGCGCCCAGCCCTGTCCCAGCTCAGGACACCACTAGCCTGGAAAGCCTGCGCTGGCTGTTCAGTACTTCTGCCGACAGCAGAATGTACCTGTACTTCCTCAGGGACTCTTTTCTGGGGACATAACAAGCTACTCACCCCACACCTCCCAAAGCTATCTTCTTGGTCACTGCTCTCAGCACACAGGTCTGTACTTTGTGCCTCTCAAGGTCAGCCTGTATTCTTAACTTTCTATCCCCAGGACTAACACAGGGCTTTGACTGTAGGAGACTGTGGGATACCGCCAGGCTCAAAGCACGACAGAAAGAGAGAATTCGTAATTCATTAAAAAACAACAACATTCTACTTCAGGATTAGCTTGGAAATTCATTGAAGGATTCTGAGTTACATATAACTCAACAGCAGTTTATTTTCAAACAATGCATATGATGCCCCTTCCCCCCTTTATGGGTATGATTAGAAATTGCTTGTTCTCTGAGGGTCACTTAAATCAGGAAGTAGAAACTTTTCTCACAAAGGGCTCCACAGTTAAGATGTTCAGGTTTGGGGATAACAGAGTCTCAACCACTAAATTCTGCACTTGAAGTCAAAAGCAGGCTTGGACAATAGGTGATGACCAAACAGGCCTACACTCTGGTGAAACTTATTTACAGCACAGGTGATGTTCTATCCAGACTAGTGCTGGGTCCCTGACACGGATAAAGATACCAAAGCCAACAAAAGCTGAGTAGAAACGATCAAGGGCCACTGGGTCTCCGCAGGCTGCATACTCTCTGAGGTGTCAACACTGCGGGCCTGGGAAGGCTGCTCCACGAGAAGGTTCACACTTTGAGCCACAGTGTGACTTTGTGGAGTGATACATTTAGAATTACAAAGTAAATATATATTTTTAAAGGATCTCAAAGTGACCCTGCAGAAGAAATCGGATAATTATGGGACGAGTAAATTTCAGTTTTAAAAAAGTAAACCAAAGTAGAGCATAGTAGCACACGCCTTTAATCCCAGCACTCGGGAGTCAGAGGCAGGTCTGAGTTCAAGGCCAGCCTGGTCTACATAGTGAACTCCAGGACAGCCAGGACTACAAAGTGGGACCATAACTTGAAAAAACCAAAACCAAAAACAACCCCAACACACACACAAAAACAACCCCAACACCACCAACAAAATGACAAGTAAACCAGTTATATGTATATATACATCTTGAGGTAAAAGATTATTATGAAAGATCATTCATTGTCCATGAAGCCGCCTATATGTAAAAATGTGTATTATGCAACATATCCAACTCCAGCAGAGAAAAATCTATATAAAATGCTGTATTTAGTCCAAAGGATTAGAAAAACCTTGCAGCAGCAGAAAGTTGTAAATCCGAGTAACCAAATCCAGGACCTCAACAACAGACAAGTGCAAACACACTTAAATAAGAGCGAGTGAAAACGAGGTTGACATTCACCTATAGGAAAGTTGTTGGTAAACCTGGCAAGACAAAAATAGAAGGTGGGACATGGGAAACACTCAAAACCAACTGATCGTTTGCAAAGTATGGCTCAAGAAAACAATGAAAAATCCTCAACGAATCATGCAAACAGCATTCCTCAAAGGCATGATGCACACTAAAGGACACGCAGTCTGCAATGCAGAGCCTCCAGGAGTGCCAACTCTATGGAACACAGTTTGCTTCTAGTAACAGACTTAGCTGCTCCTACTGGGAAAGTTGACACTGGCCACGTAGCTCAATACAAGAGGAACAGGCGGCAGGGTTCCTCTAACTCTTATGCTGGGACATGCCAGGTTCTGTCACCCACTCTGTTCTTTCCAAAGTCATTTCAATGGGACAAGAGAAGACAACTCTGGGCTTTGAGAAGGAAAAAGGTAAGACACATGAAGAAATTCAGGTTTGTCACAGTAAGTAAATGACATGTTTGGAATGACAGAATTAAGAGCAGGCTAAATATTTCAAAAGGCTTCGGTTACTTACTAAGTTGGGATGTACACTTGTTTCAGTTTGCTCTCAGCTTCTGCGGCTTTTAGGCGTTTCTAATTCAAGAGACGGACAAAACATTTTACATGAAATGCACACTAATTATTAACATTGCATAGCCTTAAAAACACAAGACGATAAACACTGCAGCACAATTCATTATCTTAAGACTCCTTTCATACACGTAATTCTAAAGCTTCAGTGACTTGAAAAACCGCCATTAGCTTCTAAGCTACAGAACTAACTGTAAGCACACATAAAATTTTTGAAGCAGATTTTCAAAATAAAGCAATGAAAAGCTCCACTTCCTAATCTTCTTATGAGGAAACTAGAAAGGACTCTTCTGGTGTGTGTGTGTCTGTGTGAGTGTGTGAGTGTATGAGTGTGAGTGCGTGTGTGCGCGTGCGTGTAAGAGACTGACACTGGGGCCTCCCACACACTAAATACATACTCTGCCACTGAGCTTCACTTCCAGCCCTCAGAGGACACTAACAATAGCCATTCTTACTTTTGCAAATTCAGTTTTCTATTTTAGTTCTTGTCTTTCTGGAAAGAATATGCGCCCATACACTGTCCCACCACACACACGTGCACACACACACACACACACACACACACACACACACACACACTAAACAAACAAAAACTTTGCTTGTAGAAAAGTATTTAGAGATAATTTCTAAAACCCATGCAAGAGGAAGTGACTATAGTTAGTCTAAATAAAATTAAATAAAGTTTTACCCTCAATGATGAGCCATATGTGGTAACTGTCAGTTCTGAGACAGGGTTTGCCTATGTGGCTGAGACTGACCCAGGACTCACTATTGTGTTGGTCAGCCTTGCCTCAAACTCCCAAATGCAGAGATTAGAGGTGTGCACCTCTACACCTGGCTTTGCGGTAACTTTAAACCTTGGCTGAACTCACAGAACGCTGTACTGAAGCCAAATGCAGGGAAAGAGTGGGAAGGAGAACACATCAGATCTAGAGCCTGACCAGCATAAAATGACAAGCAAACAGGAAGGGGGATCAGTGCACGGTCCCCAGAGAGACTACGAACCCACCCTCCAGCTGCCCAACCAGATGCAAACAAAAATGCTCAGGAACAACCTGAAACTTCAAACGGAGTCAACACGTTTGAAAAATAATCTTTTCCGAGCACATTTAACTAAGTGTCATTAGTGCTGTGACTGTGCCTTCTCTGGGGACACTTCCTGACTCGAACAGCACAGGTTTCCAGACAGCACAGCCTTCATTTTTACCACAGTTGTTTAAAATATGCACTTTCTGAACTACATATGGTGTTGACACTGGAAACTGTTCAATACGCTGTAGATTTCTATTCACTATTCATGACCACGGCAACTTCTGGCACTTGGGAGCGATCCTTAAAACGCATTTGTGCAGCATCCAGTACTTGCCACTGTACAGCTTGCACATTTAGACAAATGCTGTCTGTTTTTAATCTTTGCCTTGTTCTGCATGTGACTCAAAAGTTCATGTGACTACAAGAATCTAAAACAGGAATTTGCTGAGGTCATTTCAGAAATATGTCTTTCCCAAAAGGTAGATTTTTCAAAATAAGTAAGAGATACATGAAGTAAGGACATTTGGGAAGAATTCAAAAATTAAATGGCTCCCTGCTTTTGGATGACTTTGGAGGAGAAAGCATCAAATCAAAAAGACTAAAAGCTACCATACCCAGACTTGGTGGCAAACACCTCCCATCCTAGTACTCTGGAGGCTGAAGCAGGAGGAACTCAAGTTTAATAACATTCTGAGCTGCCCAGCCTGAAATACCCAGTGAGACCCTGTTTTAAAATAACAACAAATATGTTACAATTAAGGTCAAAAGCTCAGGGGAGGACTGGGCATGTAGCTTAGTGGCAGAGTGCCTACCTACCACATCCTGTGTAAGGCCCTGGGTATATTCCCTAGTACCTGAAGAGGGAACCGGGAAGGGCAGAAACTCCACCTGCTCTAATTAGAGCTTATAGAACAGATCTACAAAAATGTCATGGAAGGAGGTTTCCGAAAATCATAGCAGTGTATGAATTTATAAGGTTGATGGCCTCAGGCTCAATTTCCAGGCCATAAGAATGTATCATGTAAGGGGTTCATGACAGGGCTGGATTTCTATAAACCCCACCCATGACAAAGAGATGAGGCCCCAGCCATACAAGGGAAATGAGGCCTCTCCGACATTGTTCTCAAACTGTCAAGGAAAGAAATTCGAGAATGGTGAACTACTAAGATGAAAATATTAAAAATGATATCCTAAAGACATAAACTCGTGGAATTTAAAGTAGCCTAGGAAAGGCAAAACTGGTTTGGGATTAGTACACTGCTGACCAAGCCTGACACAAACAGAAAGCACCCTGTAATGCAACATCGCCGGTGTCCTGAAAGTTACCTGCTGCACGTATCTGTCAGTAGTTTTCCACATGTAATAATACTCAATGATGCTAGTCAAGGACTTCCACGGGAGCTGAAAAACATGAAGGCGATGGATGGTGAAAACAACCTATGGCATAAAGTGTTTTCCCTCAAAACCATTTCTTCCAAACGATGTAGCAAGCATCTGTGTATTAATAAACTCATTCTAGGAAAAAACAAACTTTTGGGGGAAAAACAAACCAAAATTAATTCTTAGCAAAAGGCATTCGTAATATTTAATAAGAGATCCAATCCAATGCACAAATTCCATTTCTCATCAATTTGGTTAAAATTATAAACATCATCACTGGGAATATTTCCTGACTTAGGAAAGATTTTAGCCCCATGAAGCAGTGACAGGAGGGATTAAAGCACAATTAATTAACTAATTAAAATGGGCCCTTTTGCATCACACTAGGCAACTGCTCTGCTGTGAGCTATAGCATCACCTCTGATGCATAGTTTTAAAGATATCGTTTCAACAGTTGGAGGCTGAGGTACTCTGGCATAGTATTTCTTAACCCTTTCCTGACAACTCTCTTTTGTTTATTATAAACAAAACAACAGGCTACATCTTTGGGAAGGAAAGAACATAGCTAATCTTGTTTTCTATGTTAAAAACGTAAGCTTGCCTTTGCTGTTTTCCATAATATTTAAAAAAAAAAAAATCCTACGCATGAGGCCTAAAGAACATACTCCTTACAGCGCTCTGTAGAGGCTTATTTACCAAGACAACTGAGAAGGGCTGGCCTCCACAGTGACAGAAAGGGTCGATAGGGCCACCTTGAACTGTGGCCGATTTTGCAAAGGTAACTCTGCCCTCTGACTCTCGGGTGGACCATAAGAAGTAGCCAGTTAAAACCATACCCCTGGACTCCTTGCAGCTGTGTGGCTGCTTGGGATCTACCTGGCTACATCCATGCCATTCTACACCCTCCCCCCAGCAAATTTCTTACATGTTTGTTCTAAAGAGAAACCAAAAAATTTAGAGCAAGACAATGCTTTCAGCTGATTCAGGTGGCAATTTAGACAGTACTTATAGATAGTTTCTTTGCAGGACCATGGACGGCATAGCTGCAAGCTCTCAACTGCAGCTAACACAAATAGCTGTTCAGGGTTTTTGGTTTTAAACCCAGTGCACTCATCTAATGAAGTCTGAAAGACGGTGAAAGACATCTTTAGCAAAGCTCCAGGTCAGCCATGACATGATTTCTAAGCAAGCTCACGGAGTAGCCAGTGAAACCATGGAAACTCGGCAGCATCGAAAGGACATGTCACACCTGGATACCACAGAAGGGTCCCATGGGCAGATATGATGGGCTTGTAGGTATAATTCTGCAAGCTAGCCAGGCAGTAAAACCCATCAAGTAAGAACTGGGCCAGGGCTCGGGGTGGAGGAGGCTAGAAGAGCTAGCCGAGGGGAGACTTTCCTGGTGGGTGAGGAAAATGTGTAGCAGAAGCAGAGACCTAAGATCTTTGAGGTCCTGTGAAACGCAGAGCTGCAAAGATGGCAAACATGCACACCAGTGCAGGATGAAAACTCAGTAGCAAGTAAGCCCCAAACCTGGGGTAGCCGAATGCAGTCAGCACCCCCCCTTCAAAGATGTGACTAGACCAAGCATGCTCATCTCACCACATAAACACTATCAATCTCAGTCTGTGAGTGTTTGTACAAGGTAACTCTTCATCTAAAGAACAACAAATCCAAACAAACAAACAAAAAACACACAAAACACACAAAAATCTAGACAATAAATGACTCATTGACAAGGAATTAAGTAGCTGACAGATAGACAGACACATAGACACACACACACACACACAGAGGAATGTATTTCTACTCCCCCAAATTAACACTGATGATGCTAGCTGGAAAGAGGACAATATGCAGGATTGTAGGGAATTTCATCAAGTAAAAAAGAGAGGTAGGGCCATACAGTGGTGGTGCACACCTTTAATCCAAGCACTCAGGAGGCAGAGGCAGGGGCAGCTCTGTGAGTTCAAAGCTAGCCTGGTCTACAGATCTAGTTCCAGGACAGCTAGAGCTGTTTGTTGCACAGAGAAACCCTGTCTGGAAAACAAACAAGAGGTAGGGCTGATAATGTAGCTCTTAGCATGTGCTTTGCATTCAACATATTTGAAGTGTGGGCCTGTGGGGAAAATGGAGCTATCTAGGTCTTGAGAGACCGGGAGAAACCGGAGCTGTATGGCCTGGGAACTGAGAATCAGGGATGTGGCATCCATTTGGCAGGGAAGCTGAGTCACTGAGATCAGTTTGGCAAAGCACCCAGTCTCATGATCCCATGGCTTTAGCCCTAGGGTTCCAGACCTCTGCTTAGGAAGCGTGGGGTCTCATAGCTCTGCCCTTCCACTGTGTTTTGTGGAGTTTTTGTTTTTTTTTGTTTTTTTTTTTTTTTTTAACCTGAACTCCACTGGCAGTTCAATCAGGTAGGGTCTTCCAGGTCAAGGGAACAGGTTTAAAATCTTGCCATATAGTTCTGATCCTCAGCGAGGCTCAGCAATTCATAAATGACAACCACAGAGGGGGTATGGGGGGGATCCTTTTAGAAAACGTGATTGCTCCTTTCACCACATATATGCAAATCTGTAACATCAGAATGGAAGCTGTAAAGGAAGGAACACCCTATAATGGCAAAGAGAGACCGGAGCCTGTATTGTTACTCAACTGCTGCCGGCAACTGCTGTAAACAAGCACTCTAAGACCAAGACTCTTGCCAAGAGAACTAAGTGCGGAACATAGAAGCAGAAGCACAGAGTTCTAAACGTCACCAGGATGCAAAGAGAAACAGAGGGAAAAGTTCACTCCAGCATTTCTTAACTGTGGGTTTTTGCCATTGCTGTTGAGAGAGGGGCTCAGATAACCCAGACTGGCTCAAACTCTGCTTGTAGCTAAGCATGGCCTTAAGCTACAGGTCCTCCTGCCTCCACCTCCCAAGCGCTGGTTTTACAAGCATGTACCCTACCATATTTGGCTCTAAATTTGGTTCTTTATAACAAACAAAACCACTTTATTTTTATTTATTTGTGTTATGGGTGTGGCTACATGAACACAAGGACAGTTTGTGGTGTCAGTTTTCACCTCCCACTGTGTGGGTCAAGGGCATGGGTTGTAAGGCTGGGCAATTAAGTTCCTTTACTGGCTGAACCACCACATTGGCCCTAGAACAGGACCTTCGGGAGGCTTTATAGCTTGCACTTTTAGCTCTGTTATACCCATAACTTTGGTACCAGGCTGCTATGACCACTTGTCCATAAGCCTTTAACCAAGTGCAACCCGTAGGCTGGCCTTGAACTTAAGATCTCCCAGCCTCTTGGGATTACCTAGATGCATGACCTACCCGGTTTTAGAATTTAGTGTTACATCATATAACAATCTAGATGTGACTGAGGCTTTGTTGGGATAGATTTCATCAGTAACAACAACTGTGCCTGAAATTTTACATATCAATACTTACTGATAATTAACGATTTTCTTTAGAATTAATTCGAGATATCCAAACAAGTGAAAGGCAGGATGCCAGCTCATATCTAAGTAAAATAGTCAAGGAGTGAACCCTTAGGCAGGTACACTAGTATACACTTGTAATCCTGACACTCAGGAGGCAGGCACAGGATGACCCGTCCAGGTTCAATACCAGCCAGGGTTACCTAGTGAGGCCTTACCACAAACAAATAAACAAATCTATTTTTACAATTAAAATGAAGGATGGTTATTATAAAAAGTAATTTATGAAGATCTCAAGCAAAACTTCTTTTTCTAGGAGAATACATTTAACTAAATAAAGCAAGACACCTGGGGTGGTTGTGCGGTTATAATGCCAGCCACTCCAAATGCAGAGGCAGGAGATGAAAAGTTCAAGGGAAGCCTGTGCAATTGAGCAAAACTCTGGCAGACAGTGTGAATGGGCCTGGGGGTTAGAATTCAGTAGTTCAGTGATGGATATTCCTGACACACCAGAGGCTTGGGTTTGCCCTCTAGCACCGAAAACTTTAAAAAGTAGGTTACACACACACACACACACACACACACACACACACACACGTCAGTAGACATGTTAGGTGTGGTCATCACTTCTCAGTGTGCATACAGCACACTGTGCAACTTGAACACACAATTTCTCAATGAATCTAAAATGGAATAAAGACATAGTAAGATTCTAAGTAGAACACTGCATATTATTAAGAGTCAAAGATGGTTGGGAACTGGAAAGCAAATCAGGCTCTTCTGCTTGGTCAGGGTCACACCTACAAGTACACATCAACAACTGGTAACACAACCAGAGGAAGCGTGAAGCAGACAGAGAGTACACAGACTGTAATATTTAGCACACATGCTCAGAACTGTCCATATCTCTGCTTGGAAGTCAGTGCTGCAAGGGTAAATTCATGCAGTCATGGTGAATTCCAGTAGCTCAGGACTTCTCATCCCAGGTCATATCCTCAGTGCAAAGCAAAAGTCAATTACTTCATTTATAAGGGCCCTTCATTCTATCTTAAGCAAATAAAGTTACCGTAGAGGCTGAAGGCGTGGTTAAATGGCAGAACACATTCTCAAGGCCCCGGCTTTGATCCCTGGCACTGTAGTGGCATCTTGCCTTACCAGTGAACTTGTAGTTGTGGTCATACCCTTTGGGTGTGGTTTCAGGGGGAGATGCGACCCATTAGATGGTAGAGGGGCTTGCTCAGGCTCCCTTGGGTTGCAGAGACCACCAGAAGGGCAGAGACTGCATCTTCTGGTGCAGGAAGACTGCAGAATTTATTTACTCTTATCTGTGTAAGTGCTTCCCTAATAAACACCTATTTATCATTTATCTTGGATCTGGTGAACTCATATAAACCCTGCCTTCTATTGGCGCCCAATTGAAGGCATAGGCAAGTTAAATGTATAAGAATCGGTAAACAGATAAAACAATAATATTCCTGTCCCAACTGTTCACTCACGGTTTTCCACTTACAAAGTCCTGACGGATGTCATTGAAGTCTTTGCCATATTTTTCTAGTGCTTCTTCAAATAAGCTGGCTTCAGAGGCTGACCACTCCTCCATCTCATCTCTGCATAGGACTGGCCCTCCAAGTGGCACCAGGACACTTATGGCGCTGCTCAGGTCATAGCTGTGCCTGTACAGCGTATCCATGGCATGGAACTGGAGAGGAGAGAAGCAGGAAAGAAATGTCAAGTGGGCTCGTACAGCTGCAGGCTAGCAAAAACTGGAACACTGAATGCAGGCTATGCATAATTAATGGTATCTTTAGTATTTCCTTTTAAATAGTAAAAATCAAACAGCCAAACCCCAGCAAATAATTTGCTGTAGGAGGATGCTAATTGGTAAGAGAATGCTAACGTGTTTTAAAAATACATTTGGAATGGCAACATCCATGAAGATCCAAATGCTCAAAATATTCAGTTAAGAACACAATCAATTACACTTCAAGATTTCATTTACTTAAAGAAACCAGAGCTACTTCAGTTATTGTGGGACACTGGCAGGGACACTGGTATAATCTTCACTGACCAAGGAAAAACACACTATATGAGAGAGAGAAAAAAAGTGTTGTATTAAAAGCATTGGTTCAAGTTAGAGAATAATGTACTGTTACTAAGAACAAGAGATAGATAGAAAGAAAAAACAGAATAGAGGACCATGTTTAAGCAAAACTATATATTTGGGCCAACGAGATGGCTCAGCAAGTGAACACGCTTCTGCCAAGTCTGACAACCTGAATTCAATTCCCCTACCCACATGATAGGAGAGAATAGACTCCCAAAAGATGTCCTCTTGTCTCCAAGTGCACTCTATGGCACACATATACTCATACACACACATGTACACACAAAATAAACATGTAAAAAGAATACATTTAATATTAAACACAAAGCAAGCAATACTACAAATCCGTGTTCATATGTAACTTGGTTGAGACTTTGGAAAGGCCAAGATCAGAGGAGCAGGCATGCTTGGAGTAGCCAGGCCAGTGCGCACTTCTGTAGGGGCTAAGGAAAGGCCAGCCAGCCAATCGGTGAAATCTTACAACACAACAAGGGTGCATTTACACTGTGAGATTAACCAACATGGCATGGCCAGTATGGACACAGAAATTGAATTTGTTGACAAAGCCAAAGGCAGCAACTAGTACAGATCTGTGTCACTAAACCAGTTACTACTGGTTGAACGAGGTTTGGCATTAGCTTTAAAACCAATCCCTGGATTCTGTAAATCAAAAGCAGAGTAGGAAATGTCATTATCAGTTTCCCTTGATAGTTCCAGCTTGGGATGCTGTTTGAGGTAGTCAGCTGCTGCAGGCGTCAGTGGTGGGACAGCGTTCTCTGAGAGAAACTCTCTCTGCCACACCTCGGCTTCAGAACGCTGGCCCTGCTCCTGCCTCCTGCTCATACCCTGCCAAGTCTCATAAGCAATGAATCTGATTCTCTAGTTACCTTCACTAAACAGACCCAGCGACTTGGCTGTTTTCTTTTATCTCCATGTCAGAGCCCTCTTTCTGACTATCTTGTAATAAAAACAGAAAGAAAGATCAACAGTATTTAGGGGTCCTTTCAACTAAGGATGGGGCCATAAACTGTTACTTTAATGCCATAAATTGACAACAGGTGATGCGAAGGAATGAAGGGAGGAAGGGAGGGAGGGAGGGAGGGAAGGAGGAAGGCCTAAACGATTAGGTAGTATTCAAAGGCCAAACCCACCACTTGGGATGTGGAGGCAGAAGGATAAGGAGTGTTGCCCTTGAATATTAAGCCTGTCTCAAAAAAACCAAGAACAACAAAGTCAACAATTATACAATGAGTATAGCTCATTGCCAGACTTGCTTGAGGTTTGATCCTCAACACCCCCACTAAAAAGTTAACTGTGATGTTAAAATTCCTCAAAAGGAGAAATTTTATAACTAACATGCTCTGAAACCAATGTCACGGAATTAAATGTGTTTGTTTCAGATGACAGCGCATCGACCAGTCAATCGGAGGAAACCATGTTATAAACTATAGCACAAGCCACGTGCAAGGATGTCCATTGCATCCAGGCACTCAGGGGGCCCAAACTGCAGGACCATGACAGTTATCTCAAGTAAGTGAACCACAGCTTGGCCAAGAGGAGTGTAGTTGGTATGAGCAGACACTGCATACTGTACAGCTGAACTTGTAGGGGTGATTTCATGATGGAAGCCAGAGGGTCCTATCTCTCATAAGGCCCTATTAACCTATTAACATATACAAGATGCTTTTGAATGGACTTTTGTGTAGTCCAACTGTACTTTTTAAAAGCTTAAAAGAAAAGAACATAGTTTCTACAACAAAAGAAAACAATGTTCAATGTTCAACAGAGAAGATAACAAAAACTTAGGAGACAGTAGAAATTCAGTGGTGTGCGCCTTCTGTGATCCAGGATATGGACTGGGAGGGCATAAGGGAACTCTGGGGACACTACACTTTATCTACACTTAGTGGTGGTTTTACATCGATATTTGCAACCATGAAGGGTCACCCCATGCACGAGATGTATTGCACATATATCTCAACTTAAAATTAAAAACAGATTTGAAAGCTAAGGATAAACAACCCAAGTCTCCTCTCAGATAAATACTTTGCAAAGACTACATCTTTTCAATAGATACAAACACACGTTGCAAGATCCATTCAAATCTAAATTTTGAAAATCATAACTGAGCACAAGCTGTTCCCTTTGCCAAAAAGCAAAGGTGTTGTCACATTTCATCTCATTCATAACAGATGGAAATGACAAATAGAAGTATTTTAGGAGAAAGACTGACAAGGATCTTGGCAGTGGGGTTTTGGTCTTTTGTTCATTAAACAGAACCAATGCTGTGGTAAACTGGATGGCTGTCCAGCAAATATTTCACCTCCTGTCCTAGACCTCCACAGAAGGCCACGCTGCCTCCACATGGATACTGGGCTTTTGGCACATGCTTGGCCAGTAGAATGCTAAAATATATGACACAGCTGGATGGCGGTGCCGTGGGCCTTTAATCCCAACACTCGGAGGCAGAGGCAGGTGGGTTTCTGAGTTTGACATCAGCCTGGTCTACAGAGTGAGTTCCAGGACATCCAGGACTACATAGAGAAACCTGTCTCAAAAAAAAAAAAAAAAAAAAAAAAAAAAAAAAAAAAAAGAAAAGAAAGAAAGAAAAAAAAAAAAAGATATACAACATAACAGATCTTTGGTGCGTGTCCGTGCATTTGGCATTGGTCTCTTGTGCTGCTGACTTGTGTTCACAGAGACTAGAAAAAGCAGGAGAGCAGAACTGGGCTAGCATGCAGCTTGTCTGAGTCAAGTTCACCAGAATCCTAGACAATCTGCTGCTGAGTTTTTGAGATGAGACATGGACTAGATAAGCCTCCGGGGCACTGTGTGAGTGATGAGGAGAGAGAACACATTCATGGAGGGGCTCCAAGTTCTGCAGGCAGGCACCTTCGCACTTGGTCTGCATGGAACTGTTTCAGTTTAAGACTGAGTGGACGATGCAGGGTGTATGGGCCCTGCCTGCTCTGAGAGAACACTTCAGGACACCCCATGAGTCGTTTAGACTGCAGGGAGATCCCCAGTTCTCCTGCCTGACTACAGTCATGTATGGCCTGAAGGTCATCACTAGAGATTTCCAGAGAGCACAGGCTTCATACATGCCACTGTTGTTAACATAATACGACCTCACACTTACATGTTCCAAACTAACTACTGATTTGCTCAGGAACAATTTCATAAAAACCTTACATTTTCCCCTCCAGCACAAGCTACAGCATTCAAGATACTAAGTCAATTCAAAACTTATTGAACTCCAGCTTTCTTTCCAAGCAAAAGGTGAATATAAAAATCTGATGAATAAATCTGTAACTACAATCAAAGTTTTTATATATAAAAAGTGTACCATCCACTTTTATTTTTGCTTCGGTGGGAACAAAATACACAGAAGGACGTGCTTCTTCTTCTTCTTTTCTTTAATAGTGAAAGGACTTATTTTTTTTAATTGAAAATATTCTTTTCTGGTACCATGTATCCTGACTTCAAACTTTAGAAGAAATTACAACTGGGCAGTGTGGTGCACACAGGTAATCCAAGCACTTGGGAGGTGGAGGCAAGAAGATCAAAGAGTCAAGGCTAGATTCCACAGATACTGAGCTTCGGGCTAGCCTGGGCTGTATGAGACAACTGCCTCAAACAATACCCCACACCCCTCTATTGTACAGGACTGTGCTCTGAGCCAAACTGCCACTACCATCACGAGTTCAGCTGTGCTTGCTTCCAAACACTCATCACAGCTAGACTTGCTGACTACTGAGGCTCCTTCCGAGCCCTGGAGGAGGGGTGGGGAGGGGAATGGGACCTGAACCCAAGTATCCGTGCCTGGATACCTCCTAGCCAGTTGTTCACAATTTTACCCTAACTACCTGGCCTTAAGGAGACACAGAATGTATAGGCTGGGTGCTGCTGGTGGAAACAGCCCTGGGGAAGTCATCGTGCATGCTATAAGCAGGCCTTCCAGTGTAGTTGTTACTGGGTCACCCACACTCTGCAAGTAACCCTAATAAACCTGCTGGTCCCCCAGGGAGAACTTTGGTGGACTCAATATGGTTTTCCATTGGGGATGTGTTCAGGTAGGGAAAAGATGTTGCCTTGCCATCCCCCAAAATGTAGAATTTGAAACATAACAGAATTATTGGAAATATACACGCTTCCTCCATAATTAATTTACATTATAAACTTTATTTCATCAGAAATAAACTAATACTTCAAATAAAAATTAGGAAATAAGTAGAAGCATATAATAAGGAAAATGTTATAAATCAAAATATTCTAGCTAAAACCAAACTGTAGGAACATTTACAATCTAAAATGTATAAAGGAAAGACAAAAAAGAATTGGCTAAAAATGGTCTTTAAGAAAATATCAGGCCTGTTGGGACACATAGCACTTGGGTGGCTGAAGCAGAAAGACTGCAAGTTTAAGGCCATAAGGCATAAACTATACAGCAAGAGTCTTACTCTCAAAAAAAAAAAAAAAAAAATCAATCGTCAGGAAAAGAATTACCAAGTAAATCTACAAGTAGAAGATAAAGAGGAAAATTAAATAGAAATCCTACAATAAAATCTAATTTTATGAATAAAAAGATATATGGC